CCCCCCCAACCCCAGTGGTACAGGTAGCAGTTCCAAAAGTGAAGAAAATTTTGCTCGGCACCTCTCGTAGCCCTACCACTTTCTGTCCTTCCCCCCTCCCCCCCCCCTCCCCACCCTTTCTCCCCTCCTCGGTTGCTACAGTTAGGACCGATGATGATGAGGAGGGTATCGGGGCAACCGGGGAAGGGAGACTGCGGCTTCCAACATAGTGACAAACGGAGGGGGCGGGTAGGAGAGAGGAAAAAATCGTCCCACCCCCCTTCAGGAAACCGCCCTGGATTCGCTTGCGCTTATGACATTTTAATGTTGTTGTCCCTACACTCCTGGCATAATTATGCAAAGCTTTTCGACGTTGACTTGCATGCCTCCAGTTCGCACTAACAGACTGTCCGATTTTTTGTGCCGCTTCCTCGGAGTTTTTTGATTTTCGTTTACTAACTCTCGAATGCCACTCACTGGTACGCGACGAACATTAGTTGGCATCAAGGTGAAGCAATATGCCGTGCCCATCGAAATTCGGAAACAGCTCAAGTGGCAGTAAGTGTCAGAAGCAATCGTTTTTTGGTAGGGCTGCTTGAATACATCCACTTTTGAGAGTTATTTAAAGGCAAGTTAACGGCGGGTGTGTCAGATAATTTCCAGGTTCTAGAAGTTTTTACGCCCGCTCGTTGGATTTACTGACCTTTACCATCCCGCAACTACTACGGAGGATATCGAAACTGATGAAGGAGGCAGCCCAAAAAAACAGAAGCAATTTTTCCGTTTACTTTTCGAAAAATTGATCAGTGCTAAAGGGGTTCCCTGAGAATTTCCTTGAAGTATTTCAGAAGAGCATCCCGAGTGGCATCAAAATCTCACAATTTACTTGAAACTATTCGGAAGACTTTTGCGAACGCCAAAATATTTTCGAAACTTTTGTCAAGACGAACAAATTTACGGAACAGAGTGCCTTTTAATAGCGGTTTAAAGATGTGGAATCGAAAGGGTGGAAAGATTAATACAATTTTTCACGAGACTATCAATGGCAAGTTAAAGACTGCAATAAAATTGTTAAAAAAACGGATTTTTCTGGAACCTTTTTAGATTACATTTGCTTCTTGACAGAATAACTCAGATTTTACCAATCAGCAAAAAATTTTTTAACAGCTTTTTCTACACTTTAAAATCAGCTCGAAAAAATAATTAAGAAAAAAGGTTAAAAAGTCTGCGCAACTGAAAATTCTCAGCAAAAATAGGACACGAATCTTTCACTCACCAATTTAGCAGAGTTAAACACACTGGCCGCTTCCTCAATATGGTTATTATACATCCGCATTTGCAATGCAAGAAGAAGCAATTGCGGACGGAGAGTGAGAAGTGCAGCGAAATTGTCCAAAGTCCAATAATTCGGAGAAGCTGAAATTTCCAGAAAAAAAATGCAGCATGGCAAAAAGGCAAAAAGTCGAGACCTTCTCAGCATTTGCTCTTTGTGAGAGGTGGTAGCACTCGGGAAATAAATCGAGTGGCAGCAAATTTAACAATAACCACCGGCCGCTGGCAGTGGAGTCGATGGCTACCTCTTTTGGGCATTGCTCACAAGCAAGCTGATGGCGAATTTGACATCTTGCGCATGTCGGCACCAATTTATTATTGCCGAAACGAATGAACGCATTCGTAGACGGTCCGATTGCACCCAAAATGATAAAATGCATAATTTTAAGTACCTCTGTCGCATGTTTTTGCTGTGAAACGCATAACTGCCGAATCGGACTATAAAATACAGCTAATTCAAGTACTTGTTTGTATGTGTAAGTATATACGTGTGTGTGTACACGCGTATATATGCATGGATGTATGTATTTACGCACAAACATATGAGTGTGCAGGACCAGCAAGTATGCGATCTCAATGCATTTATGTTTGTACGTATGTGCTTTTAAGACATTTCTTTTATTTCTCTCTTTTTTTTTAATTAGATGTTTTCCTGAGTTTTTCCATTGCGTGCCTTTTAAATGCAGTGACATATCAAAAAATAATTTCGAAACTGCTTCCTTTTAAAGTTATCAAAATCGTTACATCGGGCGAAAGAAAAGCAAAATTAAAATTAATGAGCAAAAATAGTGTCAAAATATTCAGGAATGTGCAAATCCAGGCAAAAAAAAAAAAAAACAAGCTAAACGGAAAAACGCTGAAAAAGTAGGGCTTGAAAACACTGGGGTTTTAGAATTTTATGTTGAAATCACAAAAATTAGAGCTAAATTGAATGATAAGCCTGTCATCTGGTGAAGAAAAGCGTTACAACACGAGCTTCGTCAAATGATTTTATAAATCTTCCAGTCTGCAAGGTCACGTGAAGTCACAGTGATCCAAAAACCGCTAAAACTGACTGAACGAACTGGAAGTGGCAACTTAACCAAAGCGAAGTCAATAGGCGGATCCAGAGTGGCATCCTAGTTAGGTGAGAGGAAGGAGTGGGGCTTCTGCCGTAGCGACGATTGAGCGGAGGAGGAGGGGGTGGGGCGGAGGGAGGTGCGGAAGGGAGTTTTCTTCAGTATTTTAATTACTGTTGCCTGTGCCGTTGAAAGGGTGGGGGCCGGGGGGTGGACAGGAGGGGAGAAAGGGGGGAGGTGAGCGCCCATCCCAGCCCCCTTCCAGCTGGATCCACCAATGGCGAAGTCGGACTGCCAATTTTGAACGAGGTGATGATGAAGCTTATCTTTACCATGGATATCCAGAAATGGCCAAAGCTCTACGAGTAAGTGCGTCTGCCAGCAAAATCGCTGAGCTATTAATAACCCCCGTAGTCCTGTTATCGCGAAGCAGCATTGGTCAAAGTCAAGGAGAACAAGTCTCCAGCTAGCTAAATGTTGAATCAGCCTGCGAATTAGCTGCTGCAGATATGATACGATGCGTTTATTCATCAAGAGGACACATATTTCATATATGTCATATGTCATGTTTTTTGTAAATTTATGATTTCTGGCAGTCTTATTGTTGTATCATGACCTCCTCCTAGGCAGGTCACGCATTGGTGCGAAAGCGGACTATGTAAGGCCGCCGTATCTGTACTGTGGACATTATTGTATCCAGCGCAGTGTCTGTCTGAAGAAGTAATGTTTACTCCCGTCCAGAGTTGTCGACCGGCCCGTATGATCCCGTGAGGTGCGCCGACCAGGACTTACGAAGAACGAGAGCCACGCGCCTACCCCCAGTAATTGTCGACGAACCGACTTGACAGACCACACTACCCAGCCAGTTGACTGAGGAGCCCGGACCCAGGGGACCCAACATTATAAATTTATAAAGTACGTACCGGAATATTAACAGGCGCATTTTAATCCAATCCATACAAAACCAGGCGTTTCAGCAAAAAAATTCAGCATGTTTTGAGCCAACTGCTTTTCTTGTCTTTTTGTTTTTGCCCGTATTTATTTATCAATGCTTAATAAAAAACCGTACTTGTGATTTCTTCAATCAAAGCGAAAACGTGATGATCGTGCCATGCATACTTCCCAAGAGCGGCTGTGCCCAAGAGTTGCTGAAGGCCGTCAGCAAGAGGGCCAAGAAGTCGCAGCGCAAATCCATGCGAATGAACAGCATAATTCGAAAATAAAGTCCAATCCACAATAACTGGAAAAGATTCATCATGATGAAAACTTGTAAATTTCTAGACATTCTAAAAAAAGCTGTTTTTTTTAAAATTTATGCTCAGGTAAAAAACCATTTTTTTTAGTGAAATAGTCAGGATTATTACTAGTATGAGATAAAAGAAATTCGGAGATGGACCAAGGACAACATGAAGAAGTATCAGAGTTTCAGCTATTTTTACACAGACTAAAGTACAAAACAGTGAAAATCATTAACAGGCAATCGTTCGGTGGACGGGGTTGCACAAAACGCATGATCATACCGGTTATTCTGGTACACGCTGCTATTTTTCCTTTTTTAATATGAGACGCAAAGTAAAATTTGAAAAATGAGATCAAAAACGTTGTCACGTAAAATACTCAGCAGAAAACTCACTTTCCCTGTTTGTGTTAACTCCTGTTGGACCAAACATGATCATGAACAATTTCCCTTGATGGGCAAGAGTTTTTTGCGAGCGCAGAATGACAGAGATCCAGAATCCCAGATCTTTATCATCATGCTTCAGAGAATCGATGAAGAAACCTCGAAAGCGTTCTCGAATCTGTAAAGTAATATTTGAAAAAAAAAAGTAATTTAAAATCACAGGTAATGCGGGAGCGTAAGCAATCATAAGCTGCAAAACAATGAAAGAGTTTGTTACACTTTTTCCTAAATAACTTAGCTTGGGTTGGAACACTGATCTAAAATCCTCAAAAAATAGCCCAATCTGAGCAGCTACTTCGCGGCACATACTGTTGAATATTCTGTCCAATAGGTATAAATAAAACCTCATGTATTACACATATATGTATATTTGTTTAATTATACCAGGACTGTCGAATCTGCCAGTGCGGGTATCTCATGTTAGTGATGTTATTGGGATATTCGTACAAGCCGCCGTGAGCAGTTGCGCCAGGCTCACGCATCTTAGGCTGTTTACCTTTAGTTATATGTAACATATTTATTCATTTTGTTTATATATATATATATATATATATATATATATAATTGCTCGTAAAGTTTATATAGGACGCTCCTATTTATGTTCGGGTAAGGACGAAATGCTTGAATTATTTGCGATTTTTGAAAAAAAATTTATATCGTTTGCTTACCTCCACTTCCAAGTGCGGATAAGTTCCAACTGGGTTCTTAATAACAAAGCTGAGCATATACTTCAGATCACTGAAATCCACCACAGCTCGAAAAAACTCCGCTCGTTTATCATTTGGCCACGTTTTGCAAATCTTGAAACAATCAATTCCACTGGAGGGATATCGGAATAATTCTTGAATTACCATTTCCAGTATTAAAAAACCCTCTGCATTTTTGTCCTTTTTTTTGAAACGTGGGGGCAATTTGTAGTAACCCGATTAGTAGCAGACACTTTCGTAAGAATGCCTGATAGCTCCCTATTTCTAAGATTGTCTGAGAAGCAAACTAGCGGAAACTATTTACGAGGCATACTTCATAATGCATTTTAGAAAATTTCGTTCAAAATTCAGAAAAAAAAGCTATCTTAGGCAACAAAATGTTCAGACGCTCCTTGATAGAAAATCGCCCTTTCGTTTGAGTATATTTCTGCGCTGAGTACTTATTTGAGAGGAGCTCGAAAAGCTGTTGGTCGGAGCACTTATTTTTTTTTTTTTCATCATTTCGTTAAAAAAGTATACAACTCAAAATTTTTCATGCGTTCGGCTTGTGGATCTAATAGAAAGACGATTTTCCATCGTTAAAACCAATTGCTATTGTTATAAAAACCTTACCGCCATGAAGCATCTTCCCCATCCGCGCAAATTCAGTGCCACATTACAGTTCTGAAAAAAAAAAATTCACATTTTTCATATTTATAACGAAGCACTTTCCTAAGTCTGGCGTCATCACAAAGGACCGGCACTGTTTCCTGGAACATCTGGAGGCTGTGCGAGATTCCGACCAGCTCTTAGCATCATCGACATCCAAAAACGGATTTTTGTGATATTTTAAATATTTTCATTTACAGTCAAGGGGGATCAGTACGACAAGGTCGTTATTATGATTCCTACCTTTAAGAAAAATTGTTTCAGGAAGTTCAAACGTCCGCGGACTTTTAGTGTGACGGTGCAAGCTTTCAAAAGTTTGCCTGTAAAAAAATTTTAAAAAATCAAACTGCTACATCCAGGGAATGCAAAAACTGCCAAAAAATGATACATTCAAAAGGCTAGAAGACTAACTGCGGTGCATATTTCACCGTGACGCTCTTGAATTTCAGATTTTTACCTTTTCTGATTAAGGGGTTCAAGTATGCACACATACGCTCGTACATGCACAGCTGCAGATACACACACACACACACACACCCACACCCACGCGCACACACATACACACTTAAACAGGCATATTCATAAATATAAATTCATACATACATCACACGCATCCACGCAAATAAATACAAGCATAATACACATATATGGAGAAAGTATGATTAAGGTGTGTTTTTGAATTTGTATAAATCAAGGAGCGCAGTATTCATTTTAAGCGGCCAAAAATCAATGGAAAAAGGCCAGTATTTATGCAAAGTTAAATATAAACAGAGCGAAAGAAACTTAAAGTTGAACCAAATAGCGTTTTTGCTTGGTAGGAATTAAGGAATTTTGCTAAAAAATGGATAAAGCAGAAATGCTATAATTCAAAAACTTCCTTCGTATTCGCTCTTCGTGAAAAGAGTGGGACACTCGGGACACAGTCTTCGTGATAGCAAATAAAGAAAACAACCGCTCATTGGTAAGGTTGTCGTTGATTCCCTCTTTCGAAGGTTGCTTACAAGCAAGCTGATGGCGAATTTGACTCTCTGACATATGCCAGTGCTAATTTATCATCAGAACGAGTGAATGAATCGTAGAGGGATTGGCTGTCGCTTCGGCGACTTACTGTACTACAGCAGCGCTACCCTAGCGAGTTATGCCTGTCAGAAATGCTAAATAAGAAGCCAAAATACAAGACAGAGCGAAAAACACGGAGAGGATGCATGAAAAAAAGGTGAGCGACAGCAACAAGTGT